AAGGTATTAAAATGTCATTACTGTTAGGTGAGTGGCCAAAATCTAATGACAGAACAAATTGGATCTTTGCACAAATAAAAAGATAATTGCCTTTTAATGCCCCCGTTATTCTTGGGTGATTGATGGGAGTTCACATCTGACTTCATGGTCATTGGGGCAGAAGTGCCCCCTTTAAATGATGATCAAGACCAATCTTTTGCTGCTATTTTTACTGAAGAGAGATTTAATACCTACAGGACCCCAGGCCTGCCTGCTCAGGTGCTTGGAAGTGACATGAGGCTTTGCTGGTTCCTCCTAGAACTCCGAAAGCCTTGGAAGAAACTGAGCCCTCAGTGTACGAGGGAATTGTCTCTGTTTGAGGCAGTATTTCTTCAGAGGCTTAGGAGTTTCTTCTCTCTCACAACACGGGAACTCTTTCTGCCTCTTGCCAGAGACACATTCTCATACCCTCCCCCACCTAGTAGATGCTCACTGTAAACTCGAGGGGCAGTGAGTGCTCAGTGCTGCTCACGGTGCCACCACCCACGTAGTCTCTCCCGCTGTCTCGTGTTCTGCTTTCACCATTGCTGAATTTTTAATGCATTGTCAGGAAAAATACGACAATCACATCAACTCATGATTTCACAGATATGGAGCTGGGCTCGATCTGCTGACATTTTGGAATTATTACATGAATAACAGCACAGCTGGCAATCTGTGGCACATAACCACACAGGTTGTGCTCTCTGCAGCTCCAGGTCTGATCTTGCTCGATGAGGTTCTATAGAGATAAGCAGTGTACCACCTACTGTGTTTCCCCAAAAATAAGACCTACCCCCCAAATAAGCCCTAGCAGGATTTCTATGCATTTGTTAAAAATAAGCCCTACCCCGACAATAAGACCTAGTGATGGGCATGGCTATGCAGCATATCTGCCATGCATTTCCACACGGAGAGGAAGACATCCCCTGAAAATAAGCCCTAGTGTGACTTCTTGAGAAAAAATAAATATAAGACAACGTCTTATTTTCGGGAAAACACAGTATACTACTGCCCACAGCAGCCCTGACTACTGATATTCAGATAAGACAAAACAATGCAGGAAGTAAGCAAGGTGCTCCAGTATGGAAAGTGCTAGTCAAGGAACCACATGGGGGCGGTGCCTGTGGCTCAAAGGAGTAAGGTGCTGGCCCCATATACCAGAAGTGGCAGGTTCAAACCCAGCCCTGGCTAAAAAAAAAAAAAATCCTGCAAGGAACCACATGGGTCGTTGTATAAACTGATTTTCTTTTAAATTCCCTATATGAAGTACATGAATTGAATTCTGGTTGTTGTGATCAGTTGCTATTGTGCAGTGAGTGAGTAGACTGGATGCTGGTCTGTGCCAAATGCTTTGTCAGGCTCTGAGGGACAAGGGCCTGCGGCTGAAGAGATGTTATCCCCAGCCCTGGGCTCTGGGACTTGGGTGGTGACAAGATGGGCAGAGTGTGAGGTGGGGCCTCCTGTAGGCAGCCCGCTCTGCCTGGCCTTTGCTTGCACCAGCGATGTCCTCACGCTGCTGTCTCTGCCCCAGGACTCCGGCCATGATCGGCTGCTCATTTGTGGTGGACCGGGAGTACTTTGGGGACATTGGCCTGCTGGACCCGGGCATGGAGGTGTACGGCGGCGAGAACATCGAGCTGGGCATGAGGGTGAGTGTGGCCACAGGAGGGAGGGGGGGTGCTCTTGGTCTGGGTAGAAGAGCAGCAGGTTAGGGGTTTGGCCTGTGCAGTGCAAGGGCCCCACACAGGCCCATGGGCTATGCATAGGAGGTCAGTGCTCAGTGACGAGGCCCCATACTGACAGTTAGGGCTAGAATGTCTACCTCAATGTGACCAAGAAGTTCTAGATAATAACAACAGGGGACGTCTGGGATGTCCACTTTAATTTTCAAGCACTTCAATTTTATGTATGTTACAAAGTGTCACTTGCGATGACAGGCCTAGAACTTTGAAAAGGTGGTCCTTCAGCACAGAGCCCACGTGGCTATGTGAGGAGACCTGACCTCTGGTTATCTCAAGTGTGCTTTGAGTGCCTGCTGTTTGTCCTGGCTGTGTGGGGTAGGTGGGGTCCAGGGGAGGCAGATGCCAAGGCCACTGTGAGGGGTCAGCATGAGCATGGCAGAGAGCAGCTGCCATGAAGCCCTGGCAGACAGGCAGGAAAGGCAGGCCTCAGCTCTGATCACTCCACGGCATGGGTCAGCCCTGGTGTCCAGATGAGGCTCTAGTCCCCAGAAGGAATGAGAACCGTCAACTCCCCACCTTTGCCCCTGACTCCAATGGCTCCAGCTTCAAACCTCCCCACCTGGCTTCTTGGAGAACTGCAGGAAAGTTCTGGGAAAATCTTAGTTACAAATCAGGACGTCCTGGTGTCAGGGCTTGATCTCTTGGGTGCCCTGAGCTCAGCCTGACCCTCAAACCTGCTGGGAAGGCAGTTTCATCACCCTGTGTTTTGTGGCTGTGGTGGCTGATTCCCTCCAGCATCATCAGGGAGCCAGAGGCAGTGGGAACATGTCCTGGAGGCAGCGTGGCAAGTTTGCTACAGACTGAGGTGGGTGTGAAGGGTCAGAGATGGCTCCATGATACTGGCCAGAGCAGCTGGAAGAGCGGGGTCTCCACTGAGATAGGGACCCTGGCAGGGGGCAGGTGGGGGCCATGCTGCTGTAGTCACAAGGCACCAAGTTCTCGCCTGGATCTCAGAGGCCCTGGATCCTCAGCAGCACGGAGTCAACCCTGTGATCCCCGTTGGCTGCCAGGCTCACCCAGGTGATGCTGTGTGGGTGGAGGGGGCAGAGAAAGCAAGCTGTGTGGCTGGTAGGGGAACAGTGAGTTCACAGGGCCTGAGGAGGGAAGGTGGCCACCCTGCAGAGACCACAGGTGACCCTGAACACATATTGGTGCACAGTGTGTGGCTTGGGACCGTGTCACATGCTCTACCTCCCCACCATGCAGACACCACTATCTGACCCACAGCACCGGGGCCCATGGAGCCTTTCTGATTGATTCAGCCCAATTAGAGGAGTAATTCTGCGGTCTTGAGGCCAATTTATATGCCTGTGATTGCAGAAATGCCAGTTGCTTGCCCTCTAATGAGGAAAGTCCTAGAGCCCATTAGAGGAAAATGAATCTGCCATGTCCATTAGCTTTAATAAAGATGGTAAGACAAGATCAGGTGGTGACGTCTGGCCGAGAGAGCCACCTGCAGACCATGAGCTGCAGACTATTTGTGTCTGTGTTGTTGCTTTCACACGTCCTGCTCCTCAGGACATCACAGGAAAGCCTCTCTCCTGCACTGAAAGCAAGTTCTGAACCCTCAAGGCCCTGCTCCAGCATGGGGCTATGTCAGCATCAGTGCATTTGGGGTCCAGATGGCAGCTTCTCCTGTTCTCCCAAGGGCAGACTCCACAAGACTCTGAAGTCTCACAGAGGCAGAAGAGCATCACCCTTACTCCAGGAGGAACGAGGGAGGTGTTTCCATGTCTTCCCCCTGCCCATACTTAGGGCAAAGAGAGTCCTGACATCAAATAACAGAGGGGCATGGCAGGGTTTTCCTTCTCCGTGAGCAGTGGGCAGAAGGCAGAGGATGGGATAGAGGGACTGGATTGTTCTCTGGAGCTGCTTTCAGGAAGAGCTTGTTCTAGTCACAGGTGGGATGGCATCTGCCCCTCCTCAGGCCATAGGTGGAGGCCTGACAACATATGGTGTCCCCACTGCCCAGCAGCCCAGGAGCAAGGCTGTAGCCAAAGGTGAGCTCTTCACCTGCCAGCCCATTCTGCTTGGCAGCAGATGAGTCAGGACTGCAGGTGCCACACGGAGAAGGGGCAGGAGGTCATGTGGGGGAGGGGCGGGTGCAGAAAGGAGGAAGGGAGGTCTCCTTTCTGCTTTGCAACAAGGCCTCACTGAATACTCTGGGTCTTCAGAAGACCCCTCAAGACTTGCACTTGAGACCTGCCTCTACCCAGTTGAGCCACCCTCTCTCTCTGAGCCTCAGTTTCCCCATCCGCCACTGAGGATGACAACAGGACTGAACTCCCAGGCTGTTTAAGGATTAACTGTAGTGGGATCGCTCTGTGCCCAGAAAACAGCAAGGATGCAATAAATGCCAATTATTGGTATATGCAGACATTCCTAAATACCACTTTTCTTACTGTTATAAAAACTATGTTTAATGTAAAACCACTGGAAATACACTAGCTAGAACAAAATTAAAATCACCCACAGTTCTCTCTGCCAGTGCCTCCTTTTTGTGTGTGTCCAGCACTACCGACCTGTGCACGTGTGCATGGAGTGCACTGCAAGCCTTTGTTTCACCGTGATCAGGCTTCCTCTGGAGCTCCCTCCAAATCCCCTGAGGCAGCTGGCCGTCAGGAGCATCTATCCGTAACTGCACGTCCTCCTGCTCGCACGTCCAATGACAGTGCAGCTCAGCAGTGCAGTCTGCAAGTGTTCTCCCGACACGCTTGGGGACATTCCTGCGTTTCTCTGGTTTATCCAACATTGAAATGATTGTTCTTGTATCAGAATCCATCATGAGATCTCAGTTATTTCTTTAAGATAATTTCTGGACATGATATTTAGATATCTAGACATAATCAGATGAAAAAACATATTTTATGATACTTGATAAAGTTTGCCAAATCCCCCTCCCTATCCCCCCAAAAGACTTCATGTGATCTATATGTGTCATGTATTTGTGTGTATATTGTGTGTGGTGTGTGTGTATATGTATTTGCGTGTTGAGTGTGTGTTTGTGTATGAAGAGGGTATGTGTTTGTGTGCTGTGTGGTATGCATGTGTATTGTGTGTATATGTGTATATTTGTGTGACGTGTGGTATGTGTGTATGGTATAGATTGTGTACATGTGTGTATATGTGTGTTGGTATGGTTTTTTCCTCAGTAGTGGTACATGAGGGAGGCTGTTTCCTCTGCCATGTAGCACGTGGGGTCCGATCAAATATAATTGTTACTTTTGCAAATATGACAGACACAAAGGAAATGTCTGTGTGGGCTTAATTTGCATTTCTTCAGTTGCTAATGAGCCTGAACATATTTCACACGTTTGTTGACCATATGTTTCCAAATCTTTGCCAGTCTTTCTCTCCGCTCTTTGATTCTGGTTGTTGTTAAGAGCTCTTCTCCCTTGGGGTATTAACTCTTTACTGTGTGGTGCAGGGCTTTGCCTGATCATCCTATGGCTCCATTTTACAAAGCTGAGTTTTTCTTCTATTTGAACTGTATCTCCTAACGGCCCGGCCTTTGCTGTCACTCTTACAGAGGCCTATTGGGAAGCCTACTTGGCCATTTGAATATCTTTCCTTCTGATGCTTTTGTAGTTCTTTTTTCACATTAATAGCTTTATTCCATTTGGAGCACATATGTTTTTCTGTAAGTAATCTTATAATCTTTCTTTATAATGTTTTAAAATAGTGGACTAATTCTTCCTACACCATCGATTAACTCTCCATTCTCAACCACTGAAGGGAAAAGCCCCTTCATCCCATGCCCAGTGCTTATCTGTATTCACTTGTGCCTGTTTTCAGCTTTCTTTTTTTTTTTTTTT